GCAAAGGTGATGGGGGAGAGGAGTATGGGAGTAGAATGGAGGGCATTGCTGGGCCCAGAAGCACAATGCCTGGCCGGAACTCGATCCTCCCTCCCTGTCTTCTGCCCTCTTCCTCTCTGTCTCCTCCAGTGGTGCCTGGATGGCTGCTGTCCGGTGCAGGCTTTCTTCCATCCTCCCAACCACAGCAGTAGTTTCAGAAAAGTCCCAGAGTGACGACACCTTGGTTCTGATGAGTTATGTCTCTCCCTGCCCCCAGATAATCACTGTGGCACGAGTCTGTGTGGCCGCCTACCCAGGCTGGGTCCCATGCCCAGAGTTGCTTTACCATCAACTAAGAGATGGGAGTGAGACCCAGGAAAAAATCAGGGCACTGGGTTGGATGGGCAGGGAAGATTTTGGCTGGTGGGCTCCTAGAACCCCGTACTTTTGGGGAATCACTGCTCAGAAGCTGTGATCCTCTGGAAAGGAGAAAGGGCTGGTTGCCTTTATCTCATCAGAAGACACACAGCCTCATTCACAAGGCTGTTGTCAAGTCAGGCTCTGGGGTCAGTACCCTTTGGCCACACATTTAACATAGGTGGGTGCCAAAGGGTGCTCACCAGGCTGGCGGGCCCTGCAGAGTCACCTGAGAGTCTTTAATAAAAAATCTCTGCAGTCAGATAACCATTTTTATAACACTCCAATCTGATCATGTCGTGTCCTGCTTGTAAAAATCCATTGTGAAATCTTACCACAGGTAAAGTTTAAAAAGGCAGCTTAGTGTAGTGCATGCCTGTAATGTAATCCCCACTACTCTGGAGGCCGAGGCAGGAGGATCACAAGTTTGAAGCCAGTCTGGGCAACTCGGTGAGATCCTGTCTCAAAACAGAAAACAACCCCTCCCGCAAAAAAGAGAAAGACAAAATATAACCCCAAAAGGTTTTATCTCCCCTCATTTCTTCCCCTAGAGGCAGCTAACTCTGATCAGTTTAGTGTACTTCAGCTGATTATTGAAGTATTTACTTCTGTGACTCTGAACAGTGTGTTTTGTTGGCCATGTCTTGATTTTTTTGTTTGTTTTTTTTTTGGTATCGGGGATCGAACTCAGGACCTTGCACTTGTGAGGCAGACACTGGAACCACTGAGCTAAATCCCCAGCCCTACATGTCTTGATTTTTCAGTCTGAGTTATTATCTGCTGGCATCCTACTGTGGAAGATCTGATTTTCATCTTTCCCTCTGTCTCCACCACACACCCACGTTCTCATCCCCTGTCCTCCCAACAATTATGCTGTGGTCAGTGTCCAGTGATGCCCTTACTGCAGCTGTGTGAGAGCTACTTGAAGGTGAGTCGTCTAGTAAGCTACGACGACTCTTCTGCTTTGTAGTAGAATGGATTCTTCAGCCTTTCTGACGGAGCGTGTGTGGGAACTAATGTAAGACAGCCACTTGGAAAAACCCCCACCACACAGACAGATTAAGAGGGTTGCTGTGAGGTGATTTAAAGCAAAGGAAGAGAAGCGGGAAGAATCAGAGAGGAGAAGAGACTCAGTCTCAGAGACTAGAGCCAGAAGATCTACAAGGGAAGAAATAAGCAAAATGACCCCCAGCAAGCCCTCTGCAGCTCCTGCTTAGGCACAGGATGACAGGTGCCTACCAGCAAGTGGCATGTGTACCATCCTGCTTCAGCCCCAGCAGCCTCCCCCTGCCGTTCTTTGCTCATGCTGGTCCCTGAGCCTGGAATGGCCCCTCTGTCTGCAGAGATCCCCTTGTCTTCAAGGCCTGACATGGGTGCCACTTCCTTGGATGGCCTTCCCAGCCGCATGCCTACCTAGGTCTTGGGACTTAGCACACTGCATTGTACTTAATATGTGTCCCTTGAGTTTAACTCTTGGCTCAGCCATTTCCTAGCCCTGAGACTTTGGGCAAGTTACCTAGCTTCTCTGTGCCTCAGTTTCTTCCTCTGTAAAATAAGAACAGTAGCACATATCTGATGAGGCTGTTAGCTGTAGCTCTTGAGGGGATCGAAGCAGGGCAGCAGTGCCCGTACCTGGCAGGTTGTTCAGATGTGCTGTGCATTCCTCTTTCCCAACAAAGGCAGAGGGGCCGGGCTGGATTTCCCAGCACCCACAGTAGCTCTTAGCATGCATGCCCTATGTCTCCAGGGGCTGGGCAGGGAGCCTGAGTGAAGCCAGCGGGCTGAGCACGCTTCAGGCCTGATGTGGGACTGAGAGGACAGTCCCTGCCTAAGGGCCAGGCCACCTTCCACTCCACTTCTAGAGAGTGAGGTCCCAGAGCACACAGGCCAAGTGCATGGAGCCTCATGGTCCACAGGCCGAGGTCGGGTAGCAGAGGCCCTTAGGGTGGAGTGACTTTCCCTGGGCCTCATGCCAACTGATCTGGCCTAGGGTAGTCACTTGGGATGCAAATGTGGGTAGTGCTGGTGCTGGCACCAGCAGAGGGGTGACTGTCCGGGGTCGTTGGCCTTGCGTAGGGGTGTGTTTTTGCCAAGCAGATACCTTCACAGTGCAGCAGGCTGTGTCCATTGTCACCTTCCCTTGCCTCAGAGACCCCTGCTTAGTTTTTAGTAGAAATATAGCTCTCTTTATACCTGGAGGAAAAACTGTACTTTTTTTTTTGGTTTTTTGAGAGAGGATCTTGCTAATATAGTTCAGATTGGCCTTGAACTCACTATGTAGCCCAGGTTGGCCTCCGACTCTGGTGATCCTCCTGTCTCAGCCTCCTGAGTGCTGGGATTACAGGTATGTGCCACCATGCCCAGCAAAATTGTGTACATTTATTGAGCACCTTGCTGTGGCCCCGTGAGATATTTTACCTTTGTCTTCTCCATTCTTCCAAAGGCCTCCTTCTATGATGGAAAGTAGTAACTTGATAAGTAATACAAATGGTTTGTGCATAGGCTCCCATAAAAGAAGTGTAGCTGGCTTTGAATCTGTGTCTCTGAGTGAAATCCTGGGCTTGGACCACAGGCTGCCTCTCACACCTCTGTCACACTCCTGATCCCTGGGCTGGCGCAACACCTGTCGCCCTTCCCGGGCTATCCTAAGGCTTGAGCTGGTCTCTCTTCAGTTGCTGCAGCTGTTAATCCAGGGCCCTTGATAGGAGAGAAGGTAGAGAAAAATCAGGAGCCATATCCTCCAACCTGGAATGTCACAGCTGGAGATGCAGAGGAGATGACTTAGCAGAGCCGTCAGCCCAGCTCTTTACCCCTTGTGAGGCTCCTACAGTTTCACCTGTAGAAATAAAAATTTTTTATTTGAGACAAGGTGTCACTATGTAGTTCAGGCTGGCCTTTAATTCACCATGTAGCCCAGACTGGCCTTGAACTCACAATGATCCTCCTACCTCCGCTTCCCAAGTGCTGGGATTATCGAAGAGCGCCACCACACCCAGCTATAGAAATACAAATTTTCAGATAATTGTGAGGAAGGCCCTTTCTTTCTAATAGAATGTGTGCTAGAAGCACGGCTATTTAAACTCAGGGAAACCCCTTGGCTTGGGATCACACTTTGTTCCTTCTCTGAGTGTCCACTTCCCCTTTCTCAAACTTGTGTCAGCCCGTGTGCTGTATGCACACATCCGTACACACGCACACACACCACCCAGGTATGGCTCTCCAAGGGAAAAGGAATCGGAGGGTATGTTGGGTCTGTGAAATATGGACCTGATTCCCCAATATGTCATCCTAGACTTGGGACCAAATTTCTTTTTTCCCATTTTTTCCCCCCTCCTTATATCTCCTGGTCTTGGTTTCTGGACTCTTACGATGTGAATAAGCTCAATGTGATTCACTTCCCCATCTTTCCAAACCCCTGTAGAGGCTGAAGTTGTTGACTCCAGGAGGTGGGGGGTCCGCCTGATCTCTCGCCATTCTTCACATTCCAGACTGGTTCCCTGCCCCTTCCAAGCTGAGCAAGGCCCTGCTGCTTGCTTGTATCTCAGTACTTCCTCCCCTCCCACAGGTCCATGTGTGATCAGGCTTCTGTGCAGATATTCCTCCTTTGGAAGTTGACCATGAGTCCCTGTCTAGTACCAGATCTGGCAAGGTCTCTGCTGCTGGGTTCTGTGGATCTGTTCCACCCATTCCTGACACGGGGATTTCTAGAATGGACTGCAGTGCCTACCTCACCCACCAGACTGAAAGGGTCCTGAGGGCGGAACCATGCCCAAGGCCCTGTGCACAGTAAATCTGCACTCAGTGTTGAAGGCTGACTAATAAGTCATGTGGCAGATGACTTGCAGGGAGTGTAGGAAATGGCACCATCATATGGACTAGGGCCACGAGAGGCGACTGGATCGGTTGTTCTTTCCCTGAGGACCCAGACAGTTTTTTTTTGGTGCCGGGGATCGAACTCGGGTCCTTGTGCTTGCACAGCAGACAGCAAAACCACTGAGCTAAATCCCCCCCTCCGCCCAGACAGTTTTTCAGTCTGCAGTGTGCTGTCCAAATATGGTCAACTCTGGCCACATTAATTTTTTTTTAATTGGTTTTTTGCTTTTAATTGTTGTTGTTTTTTTTTTTGGGTACCGGGGATCGAACTCGGGTCCTTGCACTTGCTCAGCAGGCGGCAAAATCACTAAGCTAAATCCCCGGCCCCTGCTTTTAATTGTTGAGACAGGGTCTTGCTTAGTTGCCCAGGCTGGCCTGATATGCATGATCCTCCTGTTTCAGCCTCCTGGGTGCTGGGATTACAGATGTGTGCCACCACGCCTGGTTTAACTTTTAAAATTTAAATGTACTTAATTAAATTACAGTTACACTAGGCAGGTTCAGGTGCTTAGTAGCTGCACATGGCTGGCGGTGGCATCCCGGACAGGGCTGGTGCTAGGTCACTTTCACCATGGCAGAATGTTCTTTACGTGATGCTGGTCTTTACACTGGGTGTTATTTACGGGTTTATGTGATGGGTAAAGTGATGGTGCATCTGGTTAGGTGAAGCGGGTATTTGCAGATTTCTCCTTAAGGCTGACCTGAATTTCCTCCATTTCCCCTGGCTGCAGGATGCTCGTCAGAAGTTCCGTTCTGTTCTGGTTGAAGCAACAGTGAAACTGGATGAACTGGCGAAGAAAATTGGCAAAGCTGTGGAAGACTCGAAGCCTTACTGGGAGGCTCGGAGGATGGCGAGGCAGGTAAGATGGTCTGGCAGGCGACAGCCTTGCCTTTCCCTGCCACCCAGCTGCCCTTTAGGAACATCTCGTTTTGATGTGCTCCTTTAGGGTAGATGTGCTCTTCCTGTGTAATGTGAAGCAGCCATGACTTTGTACAGCCAGCCTTTTACTCCCATCCCCTTATCTGCTCATTCCAGCTTCTGCACTGTTAATAGTGTGTGAGTGCTGGCATTTGGATGACCTTGAAAGTGGGCACCAGCTTGCTGCCTGAGTCGGTGCCCAGGCATGGGGTAGCTGGGCCCACTTACAAGGATGTGCAAACACATCCAGAACACCAGCTGTGCTTCTCCTCTCCTGTGAGGCAGCAGGAGGAACGGAGCCCTGCAATACCTGCTCTTTGTCCCAAAGGCCCAAATAATGAGCCAGGGAACAGAGACCAAGAAAGAGCATCCAAGGGGAGCTCCGGTCCAGCAACTGCTGGGTACTGTGCAGAAACTGCTTCTGGTTTCGGAGTTGTTTCCTTTGATCGCTGTTGATATGATGTGAAGCAACATGGTGCTTATCACCACCCAGCCTCTGGGAGCCAGGCCCAGGGTAGGCAAGAAGAGAACCTACAAGTTACCAGTGCCTGCTGAGTGTGAGGCCCTGGGCTGGGGGCTTTTCACGTGCCTTAGCCCACTTGGGCTTCCAGCCTGGTGTCTCTTCAAGATGAATCACCAACCCTGTAGTGCGAATTGAGATAAGAGCTCAGGTTTCTCAGATCTAAGCAGCTGGTCCAAATTGTAGTTCTGTAGTAAATGACCAGGTGCCATCCCTGTGGCATATTTATGATGTGATGGAAGATAATGCCTCCAAAAGTCTCCACTGGTAAGAAAATGTTTAGTGAGTAACAACAGAAACGTTTTTGACAAGGTACTAGGTGTGTGTAGCATGTGTGTTTTGGGCACCATAGGGGAGATATTGTGGGGGAGTTGGGGAATTAGATCCCAGAAATCTAGGAATGTATTAAGATCAGACCCATGGAGGATGTGGGACCAGGATTTCCTTTCCTTTTCCAAGTCTCCATGCGCCTCTCAAATTTTTCATGGGGGGGCGGCAGGGAGCCCCCTGCTGCTTTGACAATCTGCTGAGAGCCTATCTGCATTTGGATTTGCACTGTGAACCCTGTGCTGAGGTTTCAGGTTGGACCTTGCCGTATACGTTGCCTTTACCTTCATTCCTACACAGAATGACTGCCTGAAACCCTCTTCCTTTGATGGTCTGGTGACCTGGGCTGTGTAACACCCAAGTGCTAATTGCTGCTGGGTCTGCAGGGAGCCCCAATAACCCATCTTTCCTCTGAGCCCCACCCAGGCCTCACCTGTTCCAGGGAGAGGAAACACTTCTCAAATGGTACTTTCCAGTCCCCACAAACTCCAGAAACCCGAGGTGTTACCCGAGGTGTTGTCCCTCCAAATGGTCCACATTCCGGCAGTCTTATGGGTGACCCCTATTCTGGGCATGCGTCCTACCCAGGGTAGCCCGAGGTTGTAATATCCTTGACCTAAAATTGAACAAAGGGTAAAGGTTGGTCTTGGGGAGAGATTTCTGATCATTGCATTTAAACACTGCATAAATACCAAGGAAAGTATGAAATCTCCTCTCTGAAAGTCTTCAACACTGGAATTTATTGCCCTCTGATTCTTCTCAGTCCTATAGGCATCTACAGATTGAACATTGCTAATCCAAAAATCTGAAATCTAAAATGCTCCAAAATTTGAAACTGAGTGCCAACATGCCAAAAGTGGGAAATTTCACACCATGAAGCTTAGTTTTGTGCACAAAATTAATAAAAATTTATGAAATTGCCTTCAGGCTATTGTATCAGATATATATGAAACATAAATTAATTTCCTGTTTCAAGTTGGATCCTGTCCCCAAAATATCTCATTATGTACATGCAAATATTTCCCCCCCAAAAATCTGAAACCTGAGATGCTTCTAGGCCTAAGCATTTTGGATAAGGGATACTCAGTCTATACTAAAAACAGCCCACATGCCCTTTCAGAGAAGGGTCTGTGGAAGGTCTAGGGAAGCATCTCCTCGGAGTCCTGGCTCTGGCTTCCCCTCACCTTGTTTTCTTGCCGGGTCTTCAAAGCTCGGGTTTGGGGGCCCAAGATGACTTGAGCCTTTGTGTCCATGGCTGCTCGAGGTTGGCCCTCTGATCTGGGCCTTTGGCCTCAGCTGATGGACAGCTGCTTTGGCTGTGGTAGTGTCAGGGCTGCTCCTGCCTCGGGATCATTGAACTTTCTGTTTCTCTGTTTGGCATTGTCCCAATCCTGGTGTTTTTACTGCCCACTTCTCTGTTTCTGAAGTTTCCGCTCAAACGTCATTTTATCAATGAAGCCTTCTCATATTCACTCATGAAGTCTTCCCGTATTCCACGTATTTACAATGGAAGCTCCCAGTTCACCATCACTGTCACCTCAATCCCTGTTCCCAGACTTGCTTTTCCTCTAGCACATCTCATTATCTAACCTGTTGCAGTTTACTGTTGGTAGTAAGTGAAGCTCCACAAGGACAGGGAATCCCATTTGGTCCAGGGCCATGTTTACACTGCCAGCATACAGAAGGAGGTTTCCAAATACAGAGCAGATGAATCAATGGACAAACAAGTGCATAAGGGTCTGAGGAGCCACCAAGAGATCAGAGCTTCCCGACTTGCCTCTCTTGATGTTGACCTTTTCCTCTCCATGGCCCTTTGCTCCCAACTTCTTTTTTTTGGGGCGGGGGGTACTGGGGATCGAACTTGGGTCCTTGTGCCTGCAAGGCAGGCGGTGGAACCACTGAGCTAAATCCCCAGCCCTGCTCTCAACTTCTTTACTGCCGGGTAGTTAGGTCAGCAGGAGGCAGGAACATGCCAGGCAAATCCAGCCCTGTCTGGTCTGGTTCCATCCAAATCTCACTTGGTGAGTGTATCCCCAGCTGGCCATGGCACATCCTGGAGCAGATTTCATACCACTCCCTTGTCTGTACCGCAAATCGTCTTTGGGAAAAGTGATAGGAGGAACTGGGCTTGGGAGGCCCCCAGGGTGCTGGGAAGTGGAGCAGTGTGACATCTCTCCTTCTTCTCATGCCTTCTCTTGGCCAGCGAAAACAGTAATCAAGACAGCCCCTGAGTCCGTTGGGGCAGGGTCTCAGTCATCAGGTCCTGGAGGTGACCGACTCACTTCAGGATGGGTATCGAGGGAATCGGGCCAGCTCTGTGCTCATTAGTCCTCCCCATAGCTCCTCCCGGCTTGCAGGTGGGGAAGGAGGGTGGAGAATGGTTAGAGTCACCCTTTGTCCTCAGCCCCAGGGGCCTTTGTTGGCCTCTAGCTGAGGAACTGGAAGGATGCCCAAAGGCTGAGGTTGGCACACATGTGGTGCTTTGTCTCTGTGGATGGCTTCACCTGGCCCTGGACCGGATATGACTTCCTCTGACCTTCCTGATGGAGAAATGGGTGGTGTCCGCCTGCAGCTGTGACCAAGTGGGGCTTCCTGTTTTCTTCCTTGGGCTTTCTCCCCGCCCACTTCCTTTTTCATACTTACGGACCCATCTGAGTGTGCACTGCGAGGGTGGTTGTCTCAGAGATTCCTTCCAAACAGTCCCTCCAAGCATGTGTCAGGAGCCTCCACATACTTAGGAAACACCCATAGTCAAGGGACCAGCGAGGCTCTGAGGACTAATGCAGTAATGTGTCTGACAGTGAACTCCTTAGATGAACTTAGATTTCAGCTTTGTTTAAAAAAAAAATTAGGATTTACTGTGGAAATTTTAGAAAATAAAAAGAAAAAATAAGTTACATGTGCTGGTGTACACCCTTCTGTCTGTCTGTCTGTCTGTCTCTTAAATCAGAATTGTATTGTATGTCACCCATTCATCCACCCAGCTAGTCTACCTAACATCAGAAGGTACTTATAAAGAGGAAAACTTTCCCTGTTCCTGGGTTTTCTGTAGAGTTTATAAAGATTTGTTTATAAAGTTCTTGGGTCAGGAGAAATTATTATGTGTCAATGAAAGTTTATATTGACTTTGTCATTCCCATTGTCAACTCCTTTTCCTACCAGTGAGTCACATCTAATCCTGTGATCTTGACAGCTAAATTCAAATTCTGCCAAGAGGAGTCAGCATGGCATTTTTTTTCTGTGCTGAGCTGGGGGCAGGGAACTGGCTTTGATTTGTTGGAGCATTTTTGATCTTGAGCACAAGCTTGTTTTTAAAGCTGCTTCAACATATCTGCCAGCCCATCTGGCTGTCAGAGTGGTAGGTTGTGCTGACAAGGGGGTGGTGGGACTCGAACACTGAATGTAGGTGTTTCTAACCTATGTCGTTCTCTGGAGTCTAATTGACCTAATAGGGGCCTTGACCTCTTAATCACTATTGGTCTAAATTGTCGTTTTTCCATTTTTAAGGAAAATTGTGATAAAACATATAAAAATTACCATTTTAGCCATTTTTAAGGGGATCGTTCAGTGGAATTAAATGTGTTCATGTGATTGTGCAACCCTGACCATCATGCATCTCTAGAACTTTTTATCTTCTCAAACTGAAATTCTCTACCCACTAAATGGTAAGTCCTGTTTCTCCCTTCCCTTGGTCCTGGGCAACCACTGTCCTGCCTTCTGTTTCCACGAATTTAACCTCATGTAACTAGGAGTCGCACAGTATTTGTCTTTGTGGTTGGGTCATTTCACTTAGCATTACGTCCTTAGTGCGCATCTGTGTTTTGCTGTGTGTCAGAATTTGCTTCCCTTTTAAGGCAGGATGCTTTGTATGCACCCCACTTTGTTCACCCACTCATCCACCCGTTTATTCATGGGCATTGGGCAATTTTGTTATTTTTTAAATGATTGGAAGGTGTCAGAAGGGAGCAGAGCACTTGAGGAACGTGAGGTGCAAAATGGTGAGGGTCAGTCAGTGCTGAACGTTGCCCATTGGGCATTTGTGGGGCCGCATGTGGCCGTGTTCTGTGTTTAATCCGGTTTAGCAAAGTCGGTGA